ACAGGGTCTCACTGAGTTGTTAAGTGCCTCACCATTGCTGAGGCTGGGTCTTAACTCGAAATCCTCCTGTCTCAGCCTCCCAAGTCACTGAGATTACAGGTGTGCACCACTGCACCCTGCTAGCAGTCAATATTTGAGACTAATATCATGTGCCATGCATTTGCTTGTAAATGGGAAACAAAGTATAATGTGTTTTTAAATTAGTTGCAGATGGACACAATACCTTTATTTATGTGGTGCTGAGGATTGAACCCACTGCTCTACATGTATGAGGCAAGTGCTCTACTACTGAGCCACAACCCCAGTCCATAATGTGCGCTTAACATGTACAAGGTTTGACCCCCAGCACAGGGGTCAGGAGGGGAGGACTGCTTGCCTATGGTCAGAGCTTATGCAATATTGTCTTCAGCAGAATATCAGCCTCAGAATCTTCTATTGGAATAGATTTGAATGCCCTGGGACTGTCTTTTTTTTTTGGTACCAGGGATTGAACCCAGAGGCACTTAAGCACTAAGCCATATGCCCAGACCTTTTACATTTTTTTTTAAAAAAAATTCAGACTCAGTCTTCTAAAGTTGCTTAAGGCCTTGCTAAGTTGCCGAACCTGGCTTTGAACTCTTAATCCTCTGCCTCAGTTTCCCAAGCCACTGGGGTTACAGGTGCTTACCATGTGACCAGCACCTCCATACCTTTTTGAGAAAGGGTCTTGTCAAACTGCTAAAGCTGGGAAAGAACTACAATCCTTTTGCTTCGGCCTCCAGAGTTGCTGTGATTACAAGTGTAGACAACACCCAGCAATGCTTTGCCTTCCGAGTGCTTGATTACAACTTGTCTCAGTAATGATTTCTTAATATTTAATCTATTCATCTCCCTCTCCAAATTTGGGAACTTTACTCTATAACGAAAACCTGCAACTTTCATTTTGCTTCTTCCAAAGCACCCACAATGCATATTCATTTGTTTGTTATCTGATAAGTCTCAGGCTTTTACTTCCCCTAGGTAGGAATTTCAAATGACTGAGATGGGATCTTATTATTGCCCTGGCTGGCCTTAAGGGACCATCTTGCCTAAGCCTCCCAAGATAACACCATTCCAGGATTCATCATCTTGGAGTCTGCTGAAGCTCTTTATGAAAAATTCAGTTTATTTTTATGGTACTGGGGATTGAATATAGGGCCTTCTGCTTGCTTACATACCATTTTCATCCTGTCATTTTCAAGATAAGTCCTTTGTAGGTTAGCCACACACAATCCTCTTGCCTTAGTCTCCCAAGTGCTAGGGAGTACAGGTTGGTAGAAATAGACACTGTGTTCTTCAGGTCCAGAATTTGGATCATCTCAAGCTTATTTTGAATTCCTAGGCAACTTGTAAATCTCCATTACTCTGGAACAGGGGATACTTCATTTGGTAGGCTCATGTTTCCTGGCTGTTAATGACCCCTATGGCTATTGTGTTGGTGTTGTACATTTTTAAGAAAAAATATTTTTTAAACATTTTTAAAAAATTTTAATTGTAGTTGGACACATCTTTATTTCATTCTTATGTGATGCTGAGGATCAAACCCAGAGCCTCATACGTGCTAGAAGAGCGCTCTACTGCTGAGCCACAATCCCAGCCCCGGTATTGCGCATTTTTGAGTGGACTCAGATGAGAAGCCCTTCACCTGCTAGCTTATCCAGACATTGTGGTAATGCCACATAGTGTAAATCTGTAGGTGAGCTAAGCTTGTACCCTTCAGATGTGAACCTAAAGCCTACTTTCTGTGGTGCTGGGGATTGAACCCAGGGCCCTGTGCACTTTGTGAACTTTACCAAGGTTTGCAGTAGGGTATTATTGGGGTCCAATGAAAATCTGCAAACTTCACTCCTTCCAAAATTATATGAAGTGTGCTGTCTGGGGTTAGAGGATGAATGATATAGGTCTGTTAATTTTTGTAAGGCAATGAGACCCCTACGGTCCTATTTGACCACCTTCCTGACAACCTCTATTCCCCTACATTAAAAAAGGCAACTATTATCAACCACTTCTTATATATTCTACACTTTCCATACATAAAAACTACTTCACATACATATTGTTCCAGAAATGTGAAATAAGAACATGCTCCACTAGGCTACATTCCTGGCCCCAGAATTTCATATAATTTTCACATCATATTTTAATCACATTGGGATTGGTGCCAAAATTTGGACTCATGAATTAAAGGCTTGGTCACCATATTGACATTACCAATAGGTGTTTTCAGGTCAATGTAGGCATGTCCTGAAAGAGACATTTGGACAGGGGTCCCTTCCTCCTTTATACTTTGTGGTTATGAAGTATTTTTCACCATAGGCCCAAAGCATAGAGTGACTCAATCATGGATTGAATTAACATCTCTAAAGCTGAACCAAAATAAACTTTTGGTGATGCTAGTAATCAAACACAGAGCCATACAAGGCAAATGCTCCAGCCCAGCATTTTCCAAGTTGACTATCTCAGGTATTTGGTGGATAGTCAGCACTATTGCCTAAGCAAATGTGCACTTTTTTAAAAAACACAGCATCTTCTAGCCTCCCATGCACAAGGCCATGGGCTCAATCCCTAGCACCATACACACACACCATTCTTTTTATGTGGTGGTGAGGATCAAACCCAGAGCCTCATGTCTAGGGGAGTACTCCACTCACTGAGCCACAACCCCAGCCCCAAATGTGCTTTTTTTAAGTTAACAAACTTGCTGCTTATTTCTTTTGTAGACATGTTGGGTTGTTATATTTGACTTAGAGTGACTGAGAAGAACTCCTGGGTTCAATCCCCAGTACAAAAACAAATAAGCAACAATTGGCAAACATCTTTACCAGTTTGTGTCTCCAGTTATTTTTTTATACAGAATTTGCAATAATCTAGTCATTTACCATTCATTTTGTTTTTAACTTAGAAGGCAAACTTACTGTAAGAGTATATTTTTAAAAAAGGCACTTTCTTTGTTCTTCTCAAATTTAATTTCTGTATATAAATCTGTGCCACAAAATTTCAACGGGATTTTTTTTCCTCACACAGTTATCAAGTTGTCCCAACATTGTCATATTGTTTTTAAACATATTCCTCACAAATGCCAGGCAAGCGCTCTACCACTCAGCCACAACCCCAGCATTTTTTTTTTAAACTCCGAAGTTAAGGCTGGGATCACGGCTCAATAGTAGAGTGCTTGCCTCACATATGTGAGGCACTGGGTTCAATTCTCAGCCCTGCATACAAAGAAATGAATAAAGGTCCATGAACAATTAAAAACTTCACAGTATCTTAATGCCTAATTTTGGACTTCCTTATCTGCTCAATTGATATGTATTTCATTCTGTTTGTAATGTTGTGACTAATTTTACAGATTATTTTCCCATAAGAATATTAGAGTAAAATAGCTTTAATTTTTATTAGGATTCTTATAAATGCCCTTTTAATTAGAACAGATAACTGTAATTATCATTTACCTTCAAACTGATTATTTACTACCCTGATTAAAATATTTTCAGCTGGGCTGGGGATGTGGCTCAAGCAGTGACGCGCTTGCCTGGCATGTGCGGGGCACTGGGTTCGATCCTTAGCACCACATGAAAATGTTGTGTCCACCAAAAACTAAAATATAAATATTAAAAAAATATTTTCAGCTGATAAACACTGTATTTCCAAGAGAAGCATGACAACCTAAATGTAATGTGATATTCTTTTTTAATATTTTTAGTAGTAGATGGACACAATACCTTTTTAAAAAATGTAGTGCTAAGGATTGTATCCAGTGTCTCACATGTTGTAGGCAAGCATGCTACCATTGAGCTACACCCCCAGCCCTGTAATATGGCATACTTACTGGGATCCTAAAACAAAAGGACTTTAGGTTAAAAAAAAAAAAAAAAAAACTTCAGAGGAACTGTAGGTATAACTCAGTGGAAGAATACGTGCTTAGCTTGCTCAGGGTCCTGAATTTGATGTCCAGTACCACAAAAAAAAAAACAAAAACAAAAAAAAAAAAAAAACTAAGAAAACCTAAATAAAATATTGACTTAAATACTAATGAATCAATATTAGCCTATTCATTTCGACAATCATAACACACTAATGTAAGATGTTTTTAGGGGAAAATGGATGTGCTTCACTGGAAGTATTCTAAAATAAATTCCATTCCATGTCCATGATGTTACCCTTTTCCTGAGGAGTAGTAAAGTTACCCTTAACATGCAGCAGGGAACACTCTCACCTCAAAGGAGCTTTACTGAAGGACAAGGAAGGCCAAATAAGGGTTCCTTTGAATCAGGCCGTAGGCTACAGAAATGACAAATATATAACCCAGCAAGTTGGCTTTATATATACTCCTAAATAGTAGTCAGTAGAAACATGATTTTAAGTATTACAATTAATTTGTTAATTCAGTGAAATTGTGTATATTGACAAGTCCATTAACTAGAGCTGCTCATAAAGCCCTAATTAAGCAATAAGATTCACAGGAGTCATTCTCATTCTTTTCAAGTTCTTAATTAATTGCTCTTAGCTGGTTGTTTTCCTTTGTGTGAATTCCTAGGTACTCAGCCACCTTTTTGCATCCCTTTGAGGCTTACAGAGTTACCCCTCTGGGCTTTGTTTTCCCCATTGAAATTTGAGACAGGATCCAAAATTTCAATGTAAAAAAACCCCAGAAAACCACTTTCATTAGTTTCTTTGAACTTAGCAAGAAGAACATAAAATAATGATAGGTGTCTGAGATAACACTTATTATAGTCCCCTACTTACCTCTTAATATGGTACAGGTTTGGGACCTAAAACCTGGCCAGTACTTGTGTTTATTGCTACCTATAACAGCTTGTGTTATAGGTAGCAATAAATATAGATAATATAGGTTATAATAGCAGCTTGGATATTCACAGACCAACAACCCTGGCAATCTAATTCCACTGTCCATTGAAGCATGGGAAAAGAATAAAAAGAGAAAAGAAAGGGATTTAAAAAACAACCCCCCCCCCCCGCAAAACTATTCAAATATTTTACTTCATCTTCTTAAGACAACAGGACATAAATTTGCTGGAAAAAAAAGAGAAACAACTGTTATCAATTAGGAAATCTGTGCATGATTTTATGTCATTGAAACCTCTTGGGATATTATTATAGGTCCACAAACACCAAATTATCCCTTTTTAAGTGGTGACTTAGGAACCTCTCCTCTTCTCTGTACAAGGGTAGCCCTATCTGTGGTCAGGAATTGAGACCCCAGATTTAAAGGCCTACAGAGGACTAATAGCTCAGGGGCAGAGCACAGCCCTAGGTTCAATCCCCAGGATCCCCACCCCCATCAACAACAAAAACCACCCAAATCCCATGGAGCTACCAATGACATAAAATTTTCTTTTTCTGTTTCACTACCTAGGACAAAGTTCATGATCAAAGGCTCTGCTGGCTATTTTCTTTCTTAAGATCTCCCCAAGATGTGCATTAAAAACGGAGAGAACCACTATGATAAAAGTATGCCCAGCAAACAATTCCCATCAAAAGAAACAAGAACTAATTTACTTCAGTTACCTCTAAGAGATGAAAAAAGAGTGTATGGATATAGGGAAAAAAGTACTGTTAACACGGAATTTTAAGTGGGACACACTGGTAACGCTGAACTAATGAGCTATTTGATTCAAGGCCCAAATAATCTACAGAACAGGGTCACCAAACCATATCCCACAGGCCAATTCTAGCTTTCGGCCTACAGTGTGGTTGTTTTTTTTTAATTTTAAGATTTATTTATTTATTTATTTTAGTTTTTGGTGGACACATCTTTGTTTGTATGTGGTGCTCAGGATGGAGCCCGGGCCACATGCATGGCAGGCGAATGCGCTACCGCTTGAGCCACATCCCCAGCCCGGCCTACAGGGTTTTGTTGTCTGTGGTACTAGGAATTAAACCCAGGATACTTTATCACTTGAGCTATATCCTCAGCCCTTTTTATTTTTTTGAGGCAGTCTTACCAAGTTGCCCAGACTGATCTTGAATTTGCAATCCTCTTGCCTCAGTATCCTGAGTAGCTGAAACTGTGCATGTCTAGGCTACAACCTAATTTTTAAAATTATTTTTTTAAGGGTGGGTGGGGGTGTTCCAGGGAGTGAACCCAGGGGCCATTGAGCCACATCCCCAGCCCTGTTAAGGCCCCCCAAGCCACCACACCCGGTGTAACCTGTTTTTGAATGGCCCCCAAAAATAAGAATGGAAAAAATGTGACACTCGATTTTTATGAAATTCCAAGTCCAGTGCTCATAAATAAAATTTGCTGAAACATAGCCATGTTTTTTTGTTGACATACTAAGGTTGCTTTCACACTACAATTGCATAGTTACAAAGACCACATGGCTGCACAAGCCTAAAATATTTATGATCTGGCCCATTTCAGGATGTTTGCAGATCTCTGCTCTAAGAGTATACAATAAACTTTTTGTACTGGTGAAATGTCCTAGCTGTCCAATATGGTAGTCACTAGTCAAACAGATACTGAGATTGAAAAACTGGTTTATTTCATTTTTACAACTTAACTAGCCATATGTATTGTACAGCACAGCTCTAAAAAAATGACAGTTGGATTTTAAGCATTTGTCTCTACCCAGTGCCTCACACATAGTAGGCAAGTACTCTACCACTGAGCCACAACCCCAATTCCCTCCATAATTTTAAGCTCTTCCACCCATCTGAGCTGAAATATATAACAAGAAGGACTATATACATTACTTGTCTTGGTGTGCACAAAGCTGTTAGATGTCTGAGGTCCTGATGAAGACAGGTTTCTCATTCTCATTCAGGTTAAAGTATCTAGGATTCAAAGGTAAAGGATGACATGTTTTCCTTTAAGACTATCCCTTGGGTGCTGAGGCCCTGCACATGTTAGGCAAGTGCTCTAGCACTGAGCTAACATTCCCAGCCCCAGGGTACTTTTGTTTGCACCCAGACTAGGACCAACTCCACAGGAGAAGTCATTCCACTCTCAGAGGTGCAGAACACTGCCTGAAGGTACTTAGCTACAACACCAAAACAGTGCTTGGAGCCAAACCTCAATAAAGACAGTGCTTGCTCTTCCAACAGTGTAACACAATCACAGGCACCACACTAGCCTGGATAGCTGACAACCGCTGGATTGTTTCTGAAACAAATTTCTCATCCTTACAGCCTCCACCCTCATAGAAGACAGAGTTACAGTATCAGTAGTAGCTGGAAGTAGGAAAGGAAGTATTTTCCATGCTTTTTTAAAAAAAAAAATTCATTTTTTTAGTTGTAGCTGGACACAATGCCTTTATTTATTTTTATGTGGTGCTGAGGATTGAACCCAGAGCCTCGCACACACCAGGCAAAGGCTCTACCTCTGAGCAATAACCCCAGCCTGCTTTGGGGTATTTTACCCAACATTCAAGGAGTTCCTGCCATGTGCTAGGGGCTGAAATTGGGATCTAGCAGTGAACGGAAGATACACTACCCTTTCCCTCAAAAAATTTACAATCTCCTTGTAAATACCCCAGATGGAGTGACACAGCGAATCTGCAAGGTCCTACATATTTTCACCCAAACCACCAAAATCCTACTTTAATTGCTTGGAGACTGAATTTATTGAGAGCAAACAGTGAATTTCATCCCAATTATTTCTCTTTCTTTCTGTACTGGAGATTGAACCCAGGGGCAATTGACCACTGAGTTATATCCGCAGCCCTTTTTATTTTTAATTTGAGACAGGGTCTCAGTAAGTTGCTTTGGGACTTGCAAAATCGCTGAGGCTAGCCTCCAACTTGCAATCCTCTTGCCTCAGCCTTTGGAGACTGAGATTATAGGTATGTGCCACCATGCCTGGCACATAGGAGGTCAACAACTCTAGAATGAACAGGGATATTTATCTGAAAACTCCACATGTACACTGTCCACCCATCACTATTTCCTCTCTTCTGGAGGGTAAAGAATATCACAATTTCAAGTCATCCTAAAAAGGCAGGCAAGTAAGATTTAATGATCTATTATACATAATAGTGACTATAATAACAATGCCTTATACATTTCAAAATTGCTAATGAGAAATTCACTCACCTGCCGCCCAATGCCAAAGAATGGACTCAGAGACAGGAGGTACAAAAGTGAGGCTCTAATGGCAAGTCTTGCAAGATCCAGTGTCTGGTGACCATGCACCCCTAGAACAGTTACATAGAGCATTTTATTCCCTAAAATGCAGTTTCCCTCCCCTGGTTCCTCACAGGCCGAGTACTATGGGGTTATAATCTTCCTGAAAGTTGCCTAAGTTTCCTTATAAGGTTTCTCCCTTTTTGGTTGTTTCCCAAACCAATCAAATTTAGGCGTATGGGCTGGGGTTGTGGCTCAGCGGTACAGCGCTCGCCTAGCATGTGTGAGGCCCTGGGTTCAACCCTCAGCACTACATATAAATAAATTTATATATATATATAAAATTTAGGTGTATATATTTGAAAAAGAGCATGCGTGGGCTAACTTTGGGCCAATCAAATCTAGGTGTACACTCAAGCCTGCACTAAGGTGGGAAGTGCAGGGTGAGGGTACAGGAGTTTATTCCTGATGTTCTGTTGGTGCCAAGGATATAGTGACAGCTTGCTGATGATTTTGTGTGTTGAAGTGGTCATATCATCAAGCTGCTGTGCAAACTGGTTATCAATGATACTCTACTCCAAGCTAAGCCACTTGTATCCTCTTACTTTGAACAAACCAACAATATTGCCTGCCATTTATGATTTATCATGTTGTCTATACCTTAAGAATTATTTTTATCTCCCATTATTTGCTTTTCCTGCCTATGAGTGCCATAAAGCTAACCATCCCCCATGTCTCTAGTCTTAAGATCCCATATCTAAAAGGCTATTCATGATAAACATTTGAGGCAGTCACACAAATCCTCAGCATTTAGTTGGAGAATCCTTTAAGGGAAAGCCAACTGATGGAACAAAACAAGCTTTGATAACTTAGCTTCCCTCTCCCAAACATCCTCACCAGTTCCTCATGTGGAAATTAGGATGTTACTTTTCACAGAAGCAGTAACTAAATCAGCTTTATTGGACAATCCCAGAATCACCCTATGTGATGTTTGCCCAGGGGAGGCATCTCTTCTGAGAAAACACTTTGAAGGGATTCAATACTTAACTACTCTATAAAGGGACAACAACTCTATAACTCTATAAATTATTACTAGTTCCCAGAGCCCCTCAATTTTTTTTTCTTTTTGAGATGGGATCTCATTAGTTTGCTCAGACTGGCCTGAACTCACTATCTTTCTGCCTGAACCTAAGTAGCTGAATTACTGGTGTGTCACCATGCCTGGCAATATTTTCATGCATGGGTTTTTGCTTTGATTTAGTGAAATCAGTAAAATTTTCATTGACTTCTGTCCTGCATCACTTGCTTAGGTACAAGGTTACAGCCTACAGCTGAGACCAAAGGACTATTGTGTTATACTCACCTGGGGTCACAAGTACTTTTGAATACTTCACAGGCACTAAAAAATTAAATGTGACTTCCCCCCTCTATTTACATATCCCTCCCTGGCTGGATTACTTGCATTTTATTTCCAAGGTATGAGTCAAGCAACTTAATACTAGCCAAACCTGTTAGACCAGTACCTACATAGGAAGGTCTGGATTTCAGGTTTCTCCCTGCAAAATATCATGCTTACAGATTTAACCTTGATGTATAAACAATTATGCTGACATCCTGGTATAGTTAACAGTACAGGGTCAGCATGAACCGAGACCAGAATGCCAACCAGCTATTGGCTGTTGTTCTCCCAGCAGTGTAACACTTGCCTAGGTACAAGGCAACCTAGGCAGCTGCCTACAGCTGGGGCCAAAGGAGGACAATGGTATTATTCTTACCAGGGGTCATATCTGCCTTAAGTCCATAGCTGGCCACTCTGCAATCAAAACAAACCAAGTTATAGTCAGCCAACAGTTAGTGAACACGTGTGCAGATTAGAGGCCCTGTAACTTAAGAGGCCAGAGCAAAGGTGGACAACAAAACAGCCTATCCCTGGTTAGCTTTGTTTTCACATTATTTAAAATTATTATTTTGTGTGTGCAACTGGAATGCTCTACCACTGAGTTACATCCCCAGCCCTTTTATTTTTACACAGGATCTAAGTTGCTGAAGCTGACTTCAAACTTGGAATCTTCCTTCTTCAGTTTCAAGTGCTGTTGGGATTTCAGGTGTGTGCCACTATGCCTGGCTCAAATCATATTTACTAATGTACCACAGCAGTTCAGCAGCAACCAAAATAATGGCCCAGTCAACAATTATCAGAGAACATGGCTCTTCCACCTGATGCCAAACCACACTGGGCAAGTAACTTTGAACCTCAGTCTCCTCATTTGGAGAATGGGGATATTATTAACAGTGCTTTGCACATAGATTTAAATGGAATATAGGTTAAACCCACAGGATATGTAGAACTTACCTTTCAGGAAGAGATCTAGGATTGGGCTGGGGATGTGGCTCAAGCGGCAGCGCGCTCACCTGGCATGCGTGCAGCCCAGGTTCGATCCTCAGCACCACATTCAAAGATGTTGTGTCTGCCGAAAACCAAAATATAAATATTAAAAAAAATTTCTCTCTCACCCTCTTTAAAAAAAAAAAAAAAGAGAGATCTAGGGCCTCTGAGAAACTGAGGTAGTGCAAAGTCCACCCCACTTCAAACCCCCAATCAAGTCAGAGAGATTTCAGATATATTGCTCAGCAATAGGAGTGAGTTTATTGAAAGGACAGGGAAAGGGGACACCCTCAAGGGAGAGTGGATTCACTCAGAGAGGGACAGTGCGCCTCTCCTACACTCCAGTTTTATTGGGGATCTCAGAGAATCCTGCCCAGGTTCACCTCTTGACTTTTATTTTTTATTTATTTATTTTTTTAAAGAGAGGGGGGGATATTAATATTTATTTTTTAGTTTTCAGCGGACACAACATCTTTGTTTGTATGTGGTGCTGAGGATCGAACCCGGGCCGCACGTATGCCAGGTGAGCGTGCTACTGCTTGAGCCACATCCCCAGCCCACCTCTTGACTTTTAACCGTCGGCAATATGACATCAGACTTTCAACCACTGACTCACATTCCCAGCCCCATTTTGCATTTTATTTAGAGAGAGGATCTCACTGAGTTGCTTAGTGCCTCGCCATTGCTGAGGCTGTCTTTGAACTCCCAATCCTCCTGAGGAGCTGGGATTACAGTTGTGCACCACCATGCCTGGCCAGTTGACTCATTTTATAGTTATTCCCTAACCTCATGTTCCTACCATTCACAAATGTTTGTACCCTAACATTATGAGTAAGGGAAGGTTGTCCAGGAAGAATGGGCAGTGAAAACTAGAAAGGCTGGCTAGGTACAATGGTGCTCCCCAGGCCTGTAATCCCAGAGACTGATGGGGAGGCTGGGGCAGAAGTATCCCAAGTTCAAGGCAGACTCAGCAATTTAGTGAGAATCTTTCTCAATAAATAAAAATAAATTGGAAAGCTGGGGATGTGGCTCTGTGGTTAAGGATCCCTGGGTTCAATCCCAGTTGCCTAGTACCACATAAAACAGATGTTTGCAAAGATGTTAACAAATATTTCTACACGCTCGCCATTATAATTTGTTTTTATAAAGTGAGTTTATCTAAGTCCATACCTTTTTTCCAGCCATTCTCAATTTCACATCTAACCTCCTCGGGAGAAACAGGAATGCATGGAAAACTCAATGTTGGGGTCTGAAAAGGAACCTAGGTGGGCGCAGTGGCGGAAGCCAGTCATGGGGGAAGTGGGGGGGTACACAGAAGGACTACAAATTCGAGGCCAGCCTCAGCAACTTAGCAAGTCCCTAAGCAACTCTGTCTCAAAATTTTAAAAAAATTTAAAGCGTCCCGGCTTCAATCCCCAATACCAAACCAAACAAAAACCACGAATCTCAAACTAGACTGCCTCTTTCGGGGCCTCTGGTTGCAGAGGCTGCCCCAGTTCCACCCGACACGTGCTCCTCACGGTCTTCCCAAGCTCTGCCCATGGCGGCGCCGAGAGAGCGAGACTTCCAGGGTCAGGCTCCTGGCGACTCTCCAGTGAGAAGAGGGATGGCAGAACATAGCGGCAGGTTCTGAGGCTACGATTTCCCAGGTCTTTTCAAAAAAGCCCTCCAAGCCTGGGATCACCAGGGAACAAACCCCAATTCCGTCCCGTGCCCTGGCAGAAGCCTCCCCACACTCCCTCTCGCCTCAGGCGAGTAAACCCCCCAGTCTGCTGCTCACCCGGCCCTCACTCACCCGCAAGTGTCCGGAGCTCCGCCGCGGGTGCTACTCCGGGTAGAGGCCGCAGGGGAAAGGGCAGCAGAGGGCTGAAGGGAGCCCCGCCCCGGAGCGGCTGCAGGGCGGGACGTCGGGGCGGGGCTTGAAGTCCCGCCCAGGAAAGGCGGATTAAAAAAAAAAAAAAAAACCGCGAAGGTGGTGGTGGAGGTGAGGCCCCGCGGGAGAAAGGACTGAGGTCCTAATCGTGGCTACGTTTGTTGGACTCCCAACCCATGTCTTACTTATGGGTAGAAGGGGAGCTGGGTTGGGAGATGCTAAAGAGGGTACCTACGTCTTAGTAGGGCCAGGCTGGCTGCCTGCCCGCATTGAGTGCGCTAGGGATGCTGATTTCTCTCCCGTGCCTGGCACATTTTGGTTGCTGCCGGTGTAGCTCGCGCTTTTGCACCTTTTACAAAGATCCTCTTACTGACTTGCTGCAGCAGGGCTGTCACTCGTTAATAGATCTCCCACCCACACAGGTCACCTTGGTCTGGTCTTTGGGATCTCTCCAGGTTTTCCAATACATAGGCCCTTCATTCCTATAGGCTAACGCTGCAGCCACATCCCTAGTGCCCTGCAATAGGATCCTTAGCTGGGCTGTGGAAGAACACTGGCTTTCTCTGCCAGGCTTGCTCTGCTTGCGTGACAAAATCAGCCACAGATGTCATGTCCTTGATCTGGACAGCCTGCCGCCATACCAGGATTTCTTTTGAATACCAAATTTCCTTTCTCCACTTGGAGTCATTATGATGACTCCAAGTGGTGAGTGATGCTGGGGCCCAGAGGGACAAGGTCCACCAGCAGTAATACCTGAATTCTAGAGCTGATCCCTTTCTTTTCTTTTCCTTTCCTTTCCTTTCTTTCTTTCTTTCTTTCTTTCTTTCTTTCTTTCTTTCTTTCTTTCTTTCTTTCTAATATATAGTTCTAGTTGTTGATGGACATTTATTTTATTTATTTATTCATATGTGGTGCTGAAAATCGAACCCCGTGCCTCACACATGCTAGGCAAGCCCAGTACTTCTGAGTTACAACCTCAGCCCTAGAGCTGCTCCCTTTCTGATCCCCTTCTCCTTCCACTTCAAAAGCATCCTCTACTGAGCTATTGCACCTGGCACGATTGTGACGCTAGTCCCTGGAAATCAGCCACTGCCCTTGGCATCTGCCAACATGTTTTACTATTTCCTCAGTTCTTACATAATGAAATAAAAGAAGTGTTTTCTGTGCACCCAACACTTGCAGACATCTACTGAAAAAGTTCAGAACCCCAAATTGATTTCAACAAGAGACTGTAGGCTACGGAGCCAAAGAACCATGGAGAAATGGACAAGTGGCAAGCACAAATCCTCCTCAATTTTGATGGAGTTGGACACAGACTAGTTAGGAAAAGGCTTACATAAATCCAGTAATTTAAAAAGTCACATGACCAGTGTTGTGCTGGTAGGCAGGAGCTCTGCTTTGCGCTTAAAGAGGAATGTGGCTGAAGACTGCTGCCATAATCAATGCCGCCACATCCAGCTGTCACAGTGTGTTCATAAAGGAGGATTATGAGAGCTATAAAACCAAGCAGATTGGGTGGGTAATTGTCCTGTGGAGCTCTGCTAAAGGAGAAATTGAATTGGCATCTCATATATTTTACTATCTTTCCTTCTAAACACACAAAGTGGAGAATGCAGAGTTACCCTGAGGATTCATGAAAAGGAAAGATGAGGGGTGTGTGTGTGTGTGTGTGTGTGTGTGTGTATGTGTGTGTGAGAGAGAGAGAGAGAGAGAGACAGACAGACAGACAGAGGGAGAGAGAACATGCACATGTGTGATTTCAGAAAGGAGACAGGAAATAATCGAACAATGGAGATCTGAAGGCCCTTGGGGAAGAAGGGACCAACAACCTGGTAATGATTGGACTCAGATTCGTCCAGGTACAAGGTAGGGCTTATGTGGAAGAAAGGCCAGACATTATGAGTAAGGCTGTGAGGCAAGCCACATTGAAAATGTGGTCACCTTTTTTAGGTCTAGGAAATTCAGTGTCCTGTGGAGGAAAACCTTGATTTTGATTTCTTCTTTTCTTAATTAAAAAATCCTTCAAACTCAACCTTCTTGACCTCCCTCCTTTTAAATTCCAAATTCACAGTGGTGGCTTGATTTATGCATTCTTTTATCTGTGATGTCAACATTTTTCTGTACTTTTGTTTCCTATACCTGCAAAGATAAAATTGTTAGGAATAATAACAAAAAATAAGGGGGGGATTTCTAGAAAAACTGTGTCCAGATGGAAGGCAAAAAATGAGGGCAAGTCCATTTGCTCTGAGTTTGACCTCATAACTAAAAGTAGCCCCAAATGATACCAGATACCCAAGTTTCTCATCTATCTTATTTCTCTTCCACCTATCCTCTTCTTTTTTGCTTTCTTCCTTGAAAACTTTTGCCCTTAGGACTGATTTTTTTCCTTTCCTTTTTGAACAGGAAACACCAGTAGAGTACTATTTAATAATGTGTTCCATCAGTCAATCAGCACTTACTGAGCATCTAGCATGTGTCAGATCCTGTTCAGATGTTTCAGATAAAGTCAGAGCAATAGGGATTCCTTTTCACCTAAAGCTTATAGTCTAGTGGGGAAGAATGACAAAGACTATGGGCATCCTTGGGCATGTATCAGGGGCAGCTTTACTTGGTCTGGGGTCAGGGAAAATTCTAGAGATCACTGATCATAATGGCTTAGAATAAAGGGGTACTACTCCTTTATCCCTGTGCTCTTTTTATTGACATGTAATAGCAATCCAAGTTAGATAGGGCTCTGCAGTTGCTCTTGTTATTTCTCAAAAGCTTCATTAGAGCTGGGCTGGATAGGACTATAATCCCAGATACTCAGGAGGCTGAGTCTGGTTGAATGCAAGTTCAATGTCAGCCTGGGCAATTTAGCAAGACTCTGTATCAAAATAAAAAATAAAAAGAGCAGGGGATAAGATGGTAGAGCACTCTAGGGTTCAATCCCCAATACCAGGGGTGGGAGAGAACATCATTAGATTGGCAAGGATATGGAGAAATCAGAGTCTTCATATGCTGCTGGTAAGAATGTAAAGTAGTACTGCTGCTCTGGGAGGGAAGAAGGAAGGAAGGGAGTAAGGAAGGAAGGAAGGAAGATAACAGTTCCTCAAATAATAAACCATAGAGTTACTTTTTGACCCAATGATACCATTCCTAGGTATATACTCAAAGGAAAAGAAAATAAGTCCACATAAAAATCTCTACATGAGGGCTGGGGATGTGGCTCAAGTGGTAGCACGCTCGCCTGGCATGCGTGTGGTCCCGGTTCGATCCTAAGCACCACATACAAACAAAGATGTTGTGTCTGCCGAAAACTAAAAAAATAAATATTAAAAAATTCTCTCTCTCTCTCTCTTAAAAAAATCTCTACATGAATTTCACAGCAGCAGTATTCATAATACCCAAAAAGTTTTTTAAAAATCCAATGTCAGCTGGGCTCGGTGGAACACATCTGTAATCCCAGTGGCTTGGGAGTCTGAAGCAGGAGGAATGCAAGTTCAAAATAAAAATTAATAATTAAAAAAAAATGGGCTGGGGACCTGGCTTAGTGGTTAAGTGCCCCTGGGTTCAATCTCTGGTACAAACAACAGCAACAACAAAACCAGTATCCATTAACTGATGAGTAGATAAATAAAATTTAGTATAGCTATATAATAGAATATTATTTGACCATAAAAAGAAAAGAAGTACTAATTCATGCTATAAAGTTCATGGACAAATCTTGAAACATTACATTAAGTTAAAGAACCTAGTTAAAAAAAAAGTGATGTATTGTTTGATTCTATTTATATGTGCTATGGTTTAGATATGGTTTATCTCCCAAAGGTTCATGTGCTAGAGACTTGATCCATGTGGCAGCACCCAAGTGGTGGAAACTTTAAGAAATGGGGCCTTGGCTAGTCCTGGTGCTCTGTGCCTGTAATCCCAGCCACTTGGGAGGCTGAGGCAGGAGGATTGCAAGTTTGAGGGTAGCCTAGGCAATTTAGCAAGACCCTGTCTCAAAACTTAAAAAAGGAAGGAAGGAAGGAATGGATGGATGGATGGAGGGAGGGATGGATGGATGGAGAAAAGAAGAAAGGAAGGAAGGAAGGAAGGAAAAGGAAGGGAGGGAAGGAGGAAGGGAGGGAGGGGAGGGAAGGGAAGGAAGGAAGGCAGGTAGAAAGGAAGGAAAGAAGGAAGGAAGAGTGAGCAAGCCAAGTGTGGTGGCACAGGCCTCTAATCCCATCGGTTTGGGCGGCTGAGGCAGGAGGATCTTGAGTTCAAAGCCAGCTTTAGCAACAGCGAGGTGCTAAGCAACTCAGTGAGACCCTGTCTCTAAATAAAATACAAAATAGGGGTGGGGATGTGGCTCAAGTGGTAGCGGGCTCACCTAGTGTGTGTGAGGCACTGGGTTTGACTCTCAGCACCACATAAATGTGAAATAAAGATACTGTGAAGATAACATAAAATACAAAATAGGGCTGGGGATGTGGCTCAGTGGTCAAGTGCCCCTGGGTTCAATCCCTAGTACTGGGGAGAAAAAAAAGAAGAAGGTGAAGCCTAGTGAAAAGTGGTTAGGTTATTGAGGGCAATTCCCTAAGAATGGATTAGGGACCCCCATTAGTTCTTGTGATGGTGGGTTGTTATAAAAAGAGCAAGACTGTCCCTTCTCTGATCTCTAGCTTCCTTTCTCACATGTGATCTCATCTTCTCACACACAGACTCTCTCTATGATGTCATTTACCTTCCTCAAGGGGGTCATGTGATCTAAATAATATTATTTTCTTTATAAAATTCCCACCCCCAGGGACTTTTTATTTTTTATTTTTAAATTTTTTAACATTTATTTTTTTTAGTTTTCGGTGGACACAACATTTTTGTTTGTATGTGGAGCGGAGGATCGAACACAGGCCGCATGCATGCCAGGCGAGCTTGAGCTACATCCCCAGCTCCCCCACGGATTTTTAAAAAAAATTTTAGTTGTAGATTACACAATACCTTTACTTTATTTAAAACAAAATTATGTGGTGCTGAGGCTTGAACACAATGCCTCACATGTGCTAAGTGAGCATTCTACCACT